TCTAAAAATATCAACGCAAAAAATATATATCCTCCGGTGAGGATTAAGAATAACAACAACAAATAGCTTCAGTTGGGTAGATCCGGGCCATATTACGTTATCTAGATCGAATCAACACGTGTTTTAGCTGGACGGGCCTTGCAAAAGGAATTCTCCAATCGGTAGATGGAGTGAGCCAGGCAGCAGAGGGAAGCCAGTGGGGCTTGGCTGGGTGGAAAGCTTTAAAGGGATCGACCAATCAGCAAGTGGCCGAGAAGTTTGACCAATAGGCAGAATACATGGTCGAGAGTGGGTGTAACCCTGAGCTGGGATGGCCAATCAGTGTTTTACTAGCGGGGGATGGGGGCGGGGGGTGGCGGCCTGGGTCTGGGCTGCGCCTCAACTTGCGTTTGGCCTGTGGGCCAGGGAGAAGACCTGGAGGAGAAGAAAGAGGAGTCGGAGTCCACAGTGAGGAATTTCCCGGGGCTGGCTGACGAGAAGAGGTCCGAGGCCCTGGAAAGCGAGGGCGGCGGGGGCTTCGGCAGTGCGCGGAGCTCGCCCCTCTCCTCTCTCCTCGCCCCAGACCCGGGGCTCACCTCGGACTTGGAAGAATATGTGTTGCGGCCGGCGGTGCGCGGCTGCACGATGCAGTGTTGCATCAGCCGCGACAAGCGTGGCATAGACAAGGGCATGTTCCCTTTCTACTACCTCTACTTGGAGGCGATCAACGGCCACAGCCGGAAGGTGCCGTCTGGCGGCGGGGGCCAGCCCCCACCTCTCAGGGGCTTGACTTTCACGGACCCCGGCCTTGCTCATCACTGAGCTAGGACCTGTCCACCCCAACTCCAAAACGTCCCAGAACCGAGCTCCTTAGAGCCCAGTGGCAAAGGCCCTGCCCGTCCCACAGCCGGGGACCTGCCCACGGTGGAGCTGGGCCCGGCTTTTTCAAACTCAGGCCACGCCCTATCGGGGTCCAAAACCTCACCCTTACACACCCTCCAGAACCCATCTTTGTAGGTCCGAGTCTGGCCGCTTCACGGATCCGCCTTTGCTATAAGGCCCCGCCCAAGCCCTTCCCTTGGTGCATTGCCTATGCAGAGCCTAGCCACGCCCCTCTCAGCCTAGCCACGCCCCTCTCTTTGTGGCTGCCCCTCGAGGCACTCTCTCTCTCCCAGAAAGGGCTTTTCCTACTCAGAGCCAGATCCGTTTTTCCAGGATGCAACACCTACTGAAGACCTGGTGCAATCTTCAAAGGGAGGCCCTTCCCTGCTGTCCAGAGTCAGGCCTGCTAGTCAGGTTCTCTTCTGCCTGGGCTCTGCGTGAAGGGGAGACATTCAGATGTGTAGCTCCCCTTCAGGACCCAGCCGGTGACTTCCTTCAGTGGGAACTGCACCTCCTAGCAAGCCCGGGGACGCTTATTGCCCCGTCACCCTTCCCTCTGTCCCCCCCACCCCCTCCGCGACATAACGTTTCCTTGTCTTTAGACCCCTAGCCCTCGCCCAATCCCCGAAATCGAATCTGATGGGCTGTTCTCTGATCCACAGCACTTTCTTCTCGCTGGGCGCAAAAGAAAAATGAGCACAACCTCTAATTATCTCATTTCCCTGGACCCCACAGACCTGTCCCGGGATGGGCAGAGCTTTGTGGGCAAAGTCAGGTAGGTAGGCAGAGCCCTGGTGTGTGTGAGAAACAGATGGCAGGTGACAGGGCACCCGGGGGAAGAAGGGGAGAATTGAACTACATTTCCCAACAGGCCATAGGGCACAAGGCCTACCTGCTCTAGGAAGGACCTTTTCTCGTAGGGACGGGTGGGCTCTGGAGTTCTTCAGGTTGTTGCCCCAGGGTGGTTAGAAATAGAACTGGAGGTTTTGGAGCACAGGCTGGCCTTTAAGACATTTGACTTCTTGAAAGGCAAGGGGCTGGGACTCCTGCGTTCCTGAGTAGGAGTTTCCTCTAATACTAACCAACAGGTATTAGAGGGAAGAGAGTTCCTAAAGGGCCGAGGCAGGAAATGATAAATTATGGATCGCAGGGCTGGGACTGTGGCTACATGGAAATGAGTCTTACGTAGTAGAGGACTGATGGGAAGAACTGATAAGATGGCATGGGAAAGCAGTTAACGTACAGCAGAACGGTAACGATTATTATTTTATTCTGGCCGCCGCCTTCCTGGAGTAGATCTAATGTCTTGGGCACCAAATTCACCATTTTCGACAATGGGGTGAATCCTGAAAAAAAGTATTTCATTCCTGACACTGGCCGGATCAGGGAGGAGCTGGGCGTTGTATGTTATGTAAGTATCCCAGCCAGGGGTGGGCGAACTTTTTGACTTGAGGGCCACAATGGGTTCTTAAACTGGACTGGAGGGCCGGAACAAAAGCATGGATGGAGTGTTTGTGTGGACTAATATAAATTCAAAGTAAACATCATCACATAAAAGGGTACGGTCTTTTTTTTTTTTTTTTTTTAGTTTTAGTCATTTTAATCGGGCCGGATCCGGCCTGCGGGCCGTAGTTTGCCCACGGCTAGCACTCTAGTCACTAGAGCGTGAACGGAGCAGATGGTGGGGAGGGAGAAAGAGCCAGGCCAACTGGAGCATGATACCCTAGGACACCAACGTCCTGGGATTCCGAGGACCCCGGAAAATGTCTGTGATCATTCCAGGAGTTGATGGCCAGAACAAGAGAATCAGCGTCCAGCCACAAAATGTGAGTTGGCTGAGGTTGAGAATCTCTGGGTCGATAGGGGAGGAAGGGCTATGTCACAGGCCCTAGGTCCTAAGGGAGGAGGGGCCCGTGGTTGCAGGTCACATGTGCAGCTGGGAGGATCTAGTCAGATTTGTGTCTCAGGGAGGGGAGGCTAAAAACTCAATTGTGTGTCCGGAGGGGGGAAAAAAAAAGCCTAGTTTGTGGTAGGTTAACCACGCCCCCTGCTTTGCCCTCTAGGAGCGGGACTGCCTTATGAGACGCATCCAACGGGGGGCCAACCAGGGGCTGGTCCTCCTGCAAAACAAAGCCCCATCGTGGAGCTACGAGACCGGCGCCTACGTGCTCAATTTTCACGGTCGAGTCACTCAGGCCTCGGTCAAGAACTTCCAGATCGTGTATCCGGAAGACCGTGAGCTCCTAGGAACCCGGCTGGGGGTCGGGGGCGGAGGGAACGGGGATACCAATGGACAAGAACTACTACTCCCATCAACACTTAAGGTTTTCTCTCAGCAAGGCCCATGCCACGCTGTTGCAAAGCCTCTTGGGAACTGTAGTTTAGGCGGCACTCATAGGATTTCCGGGCAAAGTAAGGGCGCCTTACACCCTTAGTTTTCTCTGCTCATAGGGCCCGGGCAGGGTAAGAGTCTGACTAGGTTTCTAACTTCCTCCTCAGCCGACTACTTGGTGCTTCAGTTCGGCCGCGTGGCCCCGGACATGTTCACCATGGACTTCTGCTTCCCTCTTTGCCCACTTCAAGCCTTTGCTATCTGCTTGTCCAGTTTCGATGGGAAACTGGCGTGTGAGTAACCCAATAAAATATAATCCTCTCCACAGCGCCTGTGCCTGCTCATTTGGAGAACGGCCTCCAGCATGCCTTCTTGTGCACCACCTTACTGACAACCGGCACGTATTGGATGTGTTCTGGGTTCTAGGGAGGGGGCTGTTGAGCAGCACCTGCTCTGGTGGCACTCAGTGCATCATGGGAGACAGGGTCTTAACAAATAACCAAACCACTCCTCCGCTACGGAGGAGAAACCACATGGAGGCACAAGTCAGCTGGCTCAAAGCAAGGCAACTAAAAGTTTTCATACTACACCTATAGAATCACAAGGAACTAGCCGATCACCAGGGATCAGGAATGGGAACATCGGATAGTAGGCAGAGCTCATGCAATGATTGTAAGGTGAAAGGGGGGGGGGGGGGGGGCGGCTAGGTTGTTTGGGAAAATGAAAGGCTAGTGCGGTAGGAGCCTGGGGAACCAATCGAGGACGGGGAGCGGGAGGCTGGACAGGGTGCCCTTGCTGGACAGATCTTACCAGATCAGAAGAAAGTTTTAAGCTGGAGACATAAACTTGGGTGGTAACTGAAGACATGCATGGGTGAGGGAGAATAATTACAATACCGGCTAACACATTTAATTGACAAGCATTTTTTTTTTTAATATCTTTGATTTCAGAGAGGAACGGAGAGGGAGAGAAACATCAATGATGAGAATCACTGATAGCCTGCCTCCTGCACCACCCCCATCCCCCCACCGCCCCACTGGGGACCAAGCCTGCATCCTGGGCATGTGCCCTGGTTTATAGGTCAACACTCAACCACTGAGCTGGCTGGGCAACAAGCATTACTTTAAACACAAACTCCTTGGGGGCCTTTGTAATCCCCTAAGGTATATACAGTTGTCTGCCACATTTTACAGATAAGGAAACTGAGGCAGTGGGCACAGGCTTGTAAATGTTAAATCGGGGCAGTTGAAAAACCTTGAGGAACTCACCATGTGAAGGCCTGTAGGAGGATGTTTGTATATTCCAGGGAGATGCAGAAAACTGGAGCTTAACCCTTGGTTAGAGACCAGTGAGTCTAGCTCCCAGCCCCCTTTGAGGAGATAACTGTCCCAAGTCTAATAAAATCTAGGTGGAAGCCAAAGAAAAACTACAAAACTCACCCATCTTTTGTTCAAAAGAAGCCTCAGGAGAAGAGGCAAATTTGAGGGATGATGGGAAATGTAGTTTATCCTCTATTAAGGCACCGCCTCTTCCCTGTTCCCCCCCACTACTTCCAGGACCCAGGAGAGGTAGATACTGTCAGTTCAGATACACAAGGTGACATTGCTCAGTACAAACCAAAAGACTTTATTTCTTAAACCAACTGGTAAATAAATAAATAGTGAATAACACAAAAACCACAGGATCCTAGCCACGCCTCCCACTGAGGTCTAAGGCAGGAGACATGGACACATAAAGAGGGGAGGGAGAGGCCACAGTATGGCTCAAGAGTGTGGCCTGGACACAGGATGTGGGCAGGGTCTGGGTGGTGGCAGGTAAAGGTCTGGGTCGTGGCGGGTATGGCAGCCAGAGAAGAGGGAAGGTTCCTGAGGCGTGCTCAGGCCCTGGCCCGAGCTGCAGGGGTGAGGCAGGGGCCCAGTTTCTCCTCAGCCTGGGCAATTCGGCGGGCAAAGCGGCTTCGATCCCGGGCAAACTGCTCCCAGGGGCCCCTTCGGGCAGCCTGGGCTGGTCCTGCCCAGACAATCAGGAAATGGATGGAGACCTTCTCAGAGAAGTGCACCTGGAGACAGACCGGCACAGACATACAGACACAGGATATACACGGCCACACGGGGGAGAGGGAAGAGAGAACCAGACAAAAATTACACAAATGCTTGCTATCTGTCTAGTCACCTGCCTGCCACCAAATTCTCCGTCTGACTCACTGAAGACGGAGGTGGTTCTCTGGGGCTGACAAGCACCAGAGCTGCTCCGAGGGAGCCCAGCCTCTTGCAAAGGATTGCATGACAATGAGCACAGCCCTCCCCGTGGAGTTCACATGCAACCCTCTGTAACACACAGGGGACGAGTCCCCGCTCCCTCCTCCCTAACACTCAGGAATCCCAGGTGCTCTTCCTCCCGGGCACGCCCACGCCTCTCAGCTCATCCTGGGCTAACACCCCCCCCACCCCAACCTGTCTCTAGCCCCCTTTTCTCACACTTTCTAGTGAGCCAAAGCAGCCCTGCGGAGGCACACTCCCTCCTGTTTCTTCTGTCCTAAGCCCTTGTTTTACTGTCCCCAGCTTTAAAAATTAAGGAAATCAGAGCCCTCAGCACCAACCTTTCTGGCCTTTTGGGGAGTCTCGGGGTCCGGATGCTGGGTGGGGGTTCCTGCAGACTTGAGCCGCCTTTGCAGGTGGAGGGGCAGCCGAGGAAGAGGCCAGGGAGGTGGTGGCTTCTCTCCTGGTAGGTAGATGGCCACTCGGAAGGGTTCAGCTTCTCCCCATTCAGCAGCCTCCACTCCCTCTGTCTCCTCTCCAGGTGGGTATGTCCAGTCCCTGAGGAGGGCACTCTGGCCCTGAAGGGAAGAACTTGGGTCCGAGCCAGCAGTCTCTGAATCATCTTTCTCATCCTCATTCTCCTCATACTCCTCCTCTGTGTCTTCTTCTGGCCGGTACACCCAGGCCCTCAAGAAGGTACTTGTGGGGGGAATCGAATCCTTTTGGGGAGTCTCGGGGTCCGGAAGCTGGGTGGGGGTTCCTGCAGACTTGAGCCGCCTTTGCAGTCGGAGGGGCAGCCAAGGAAGAGGCCAGGAAGGTGGTGGCTTCTCTCCTGGTAGATAGATGGCCACTCGGAAGGGCTCAGCTTCTCCCCATTCCTCAGCTGTCTCCTTTCCAGGAGGGTATGTCCAGTTCCTGAGGAGGGCACTCTGGGCCTGAAGGGAAGAACTGGGGTTCGAGCCAGCTGTCTCGGACCATCTTTCTCATCCTCATTCTCCTCCTCTGTGTCCTCTCCTGGCCGGTACACCTAGGCCCTCAAGAGGTACTTGTGGGGGGAATGGAAGAGGGACCCTCAGCTTCTCCCTCCTCCTCAGATGCTCCTGAATCATTGTCCTCATCTTCCTCCTCTGTGTCCTCTCCTGGCCAACACACCCAGGCCCTCATGAAGGCACTTGTGGTGGGGATGGCTGACGTACCCTCAGCTTCCCCTGAAGCGTTGTCCTCCTCCTCCTCCTCATCTTCCTCTGTGATCTTCTTGGGTTGATGCTGCCAGGTCCTGAGCAGGGGCCTGTGGCTTAGAACTGAGGAGTGTGGCTCTGGGTCGGCTTCTTTCTCAGCCTTTCCATCCTTTCCCTCAGATTCCTCCCCTGAATTACACTCCCAGGCGCTGGGGCGGGAGCCTGCAGATGAAGGGGTAATGGAGGTCTTCCCGGTGTCTTCACTCTCTGCTCTTTCTTCCTCGTTAGCTCCAGCCTCTTCTTCCCCTGCAGCACACACCCAAGCACTGGGCTTGGATCCTGGGGATGAGGGGGAAGTAGATGTTGTGGGAACTTTGTTTACAGCTTCTCCATCCTCCTCCTCCTCCCTCCCTGGACAGTGCTCCCCGTGTGATGGCGGGAAAGGGAAGAATGTCATCACTTTATCTTCAGCAGCTCCTCCTTCCTCAGTTTCCTCTTCCGCAGGAGGGCCTTGCAGGGTTCTCAGAAGGCTGAGGGCCATGGGAGCAGGCTGGCCACCGATATAGTCACTTCCTTGCTCTTTAGGGCTGCTGGTTGCTTCTTCCCCACCATATTCTTCATCATCCTCTGAAAGTCCCCAGGCTTCAGGAAGAGAACTGTTGGCCTCTCGGTCAGGGCAGGACGACCCGCCATCCTCCACAGCTCTTCCACGGTCTCCAGGCTCCCGCGGAGGGTGCCCACCCCATGGGGCACAGCGGGTTGCCAAAGCAGCCTTAGTCACTTCCTCCAGGCAAGCTTCTCCCTCATCTGCACTCGTTACTGCGTCCTCCAGCCAGGGCTTTAGAGGTCCTGGGCCCCTCAGCCGGCTCCAGGCCCTGCTGAGAAGGCCCATCAGCGGGGACAGGAGGAAGAAGGGGTGCACATCCCTCCAGGGGAGGGGCTGGGGCACTTGGCCTGGCGCCATCTGTCTAGGCTGGGGAAAAGGGAGTAAGAAGCCATTTAGGAAACAGCATCAGGGGATGACCTTGAGTCAGCAACGGAAACACTAACACAAATAGCAACCTGAGTCCCTGCCAACATTCCTTTCCGGTTACCAGCCACTCCCATCTCTGTCTGTTGGTTCCTGCCTCTCTTTCCTTTCAATACCGAGGAGTCGGGGTCCCCATTCCCTCCTTCCTTAGACCCAAAAGTCCAAGGCCCCCATTTTCCCTCAGACCCACAAGTCCCAGGCCCAAGTAGGGAGAACACAGGTCCTCTCTGTTCCCCTTCGGGATAAAGTCCTGGCCTTTGATTCTCTCATCCTGAGGATTGACAAGCCGGGCCCCCAACACCCGCCTCCCTTGGAGACTCAAAAATTCCGACCCCCGGACCTCCGCACCCCCGTCTGTAATACTCTCAACAATAAAGATAAACATTTGAAAAATAACGAAACATGGCCACCAGAGGCACACAGACAGCAGGAAGATGGCCATGTGACAACGGAGGCAGAGCTAGGAGCCAAGGAATTCCAAGAACTGACAACAAACACCAGAAAATAAGCAGCAAGGAAGAATTCTGCCTCAAGGCCTTCAGAGGGCGCGTGGCTCTGCTGCCATCTTTTTTTTTTTTTTCCCCGCTGCCATCTTTACTGCAGACTTCTAGCCTCCAGAACTGAGGGCGAAAAATTTGTTTTAAGCAAAATAATAATAAAAATAAAAATTCTGGCCTCCTCAGCCCCCTGGTTCCTCACTGGGGACCGAGTCTGGCTCTTAGATCTTCCCGTGTCGGGCTCAGCACTCCACGCTCCCAACCCCTCTACTCACGTCGGAGCCCAGGGGCCTGGCCCCGCCCCGCCACCCCCACCGGACACAGGAATTCCGGTTCCCGGGCCTGAGGAAGAGGACCCAGGAGTTCCGGCCCCCAACATTCCTGTCTCATGACCCAGAAGTCCAAGCTCCCTCCTCCTCAACGACCGAAAGTCTGAGCCCTCGCCCCCCGCCCGCGGAGACCCGTGCATTCCCGTCCCTCGTCCCTCACTCACCGGGTGCGGGCTGCGCGTCACCTCGGGGGCAAAAGCGCCGGCTGGGGCTGCCAGGAGCATTCGCGGGTCCGGACGGCTCGGGAGGCCAGCGCTTTCATCTCGGGCTCGGCGCTCAAACTGTCTCCGGTCGCTGCAAGCGCGGTGGCGACAAACGGGCGCGGGGTCTCGCGGAGCGGCGGGGTCTCACCGAGCGGCGCATGAAATCAACAACTGAGCTGGGAAAGGAGCCAATGAGTGTGCGCCACCGCCCGCGAGGCGTATTTATAGTCTTGCACCGCCGGACGTGCTGACGTCTCGAAAAGGGGCGGAGCTTCGAAACGAGAAAGCAGAGAAACAGGAAGGGAAAGAAGGCTGGAATTCTCGCGGGGATTCCGGGCTTTGAGTCGTCACCGCGGCATTTTAAGCGTGACCACGCCCCGACACAAGCCAGCTGTCAATCAAATGCGTCAAGGGCTCTGGACGTGAGGGAGCTCCCTGACCCCGATTGAACCCGCAGGACCCAGTGTAGCGTCTCCCACCGTCGCACCCGGTATGGGAGAGTATTCTTGTTTTTTTGTTTGTTTGTAATATATTTTTTATTGATTTCAGAGAGGAAATGGGGGGGAGAAAGAGAGATAGAAACATCAATGATGAGAGAGAATCATTGATCGGCTGCCTCCTGCACGCCCCCCCCACTGGGGATCAGCCCGCAACCCAGGCATGTGCCCTTGACTGGAATTGAACCTGGGACCCTTCAGTCCGTAGGCCAACGCTTTAGCCACTGCGCCAAACCAGCTAGGGACCAGTATTCTTGTTTTTAATTTCAGATGAAGAAACCGTCTTGGGAATGGAGTGCGCCTGCCCAAGGTGGCCACAGCAGAGTGTAGTTTCACAGCAAATGAAAGCTCGAATGCAAACATCCTGAAGGTAGATCCTTTATTTTGCTCACTGCTTTCTTCTCAGTGCCTGGTACATAGTAGGTACTCAACCAATATTGAGTGAGTGGACACCCCTTCCCGGTTTCATGCACAAGGCTCCATGCCTGGATTTCACCCGCTTCAAAAATCATCCAAGAGCTCCGATTACACAAACTGAAATTCTGGTTGGGTGGCATCGAATGAACCTGATGGGGGCGGGGGTCTTTTGCCAAAGGTTCCAGGCCTAGGGCCTGCCAGTGGTCGGCAAACTTGCGGCTCGGCAAACCACAGCTCACGAGCCACATGCGGCTCTTTGGCTCCTTGAGTGTGGCGGTATTTTGTGGAAGACCCACACTCAAGGGGCCAAAGAGGCACAGGTGGCTCGAGAGCCGCGTTTTGCTGACCACCGGCCTAGCCCAATCCCCCTGGGAGGTGAGTAAGCCAGGACAAGCAGAATAGGGAAACTGAGGCCCTCAAATAGCAGCCACCTGGTAAATCCTATCTTCCCTAAACCAAGGACACTTAAAAGAATAAGTGGGGCCCTACCCGGTTTGGCTCAGCGGAGAGCGTCGGCAGTAAGGAGTGTGCAGGAAGCAGCTGAATCGATGTTTCTCTCTCCTCGATGTTCCTAACTCTCTATCCCTCTCCTTTTCCCTTCCTTTCTGTAAAAAAAATCAATAAAATATATTTTTTAAAAAAAAGTAGGTGGGACAGGCAGAAATCCAATCAGTGCCATTTGCCAACCACACCCAAAGACAGATGAGATTAAGATAATAAACCTGCTGTACCAACAGCAGCATAAAGCTGATGATTAGTCTATTAGAATCCTCCCCTAAGTCCCCCTCTAAACACCCAGCCTTTAAAACCCCTCGAAACAAAGGCCCCGATACTGCCAGAGCCAAAGCCTGGCTGAAATGCCGGCTTGGAGAGAGGCACGTGTTTCCGACCGACCTGTTCTCATCGGCACCGCCTATACACCCGGCAGCTCATGCAGTCTGTGGTATAAGCATTTCATTGGCTCATCTGCTCCAGTTAGAATTGTTAACCCCACCCGCAAACTGCGTTTCCCCCGTTTTCTCTTTCATAATTCATAGCAAAACTTAAAGGTCAAGTACCGTTTCCTGAGTGGAGGGGAATTACCACAGCAGCACAGTGAAGGTGCTAGAGAGCTTACATGTATCCTGTGGGACTTTCCAGTCTGAACAGCAACAGGAGGTGTCTTCTGGTTAAGAGTTTAGTATTGTTGCTGGGAGCAGTCAACTGAGTAAACATGACGGAGCTTCCACAGGGCCACCACTAGACTTAGGGGCCACATGGTGTTTTGTGGGGTAAAATGTTGATGGAAACAAAGACGCCTCCCGCAGATGTTGGGGTGATGTCACAGGGGAGCAACTAGTACCGTTGGGGGCAGCGGGAAGGGCACGGTGTTAACCTCTGGGGTCGGGCCATCCTTGGGTTCAGCGACCTTGGTTCTTGGGTTCTGGCTATGAAAGAATTCAGAGCCAAGACTCCAACTATAAGAGAATATTTATTTATAAAATCATGGAGGTGGCCCTAGCCAGTTTGGCTCAGTGGATAGAGTGTCGGCCGGCGAACTGAAAGGTCCCAGGTTTGATTCTGGTCAAGGGCACGGGCGCATGCCTGGGTTGTGGGCTCGATCCCCAGTGCGGGGCTTG